AAAAGAATGGTTGAACCATGACCTCGCTGCATCGACCTCAGATGCTCCAGCCGAAGCTCAATTCCCCCCCGCACCCTCGACCAAACATGAACAAAACAACTGTCCATAAGCCCCCACGATCACGAGCACAAGGCTTTCCGACCTCCTTGACTTCAGCGGAATGGGCCCGCGGCAGGCCTCAGCGGAGCGCGCCACTGCCCAGGACCTGGCACCGAGACTGTACACCTTGCAGCGAAGCGGCGACGAACAGAGCTGCGAGCACGGCTGCAGATGCGGCCACTGCGGCCGCCGCGGGCGCGATTGCCCAGGCGGCAACGGGAGAGGTTGCCAGGTCCACCTATCCATTTCGGGGTTCGACCTCCGCGAGTTCGACGCCAGAGCGCGCGCGCGCATCGCAGCCATTTCCTTCTCGGCGTTTTGCAGCACCAAAACCCTCTCAGAAAGTCTCGGTGCGACCTGCGCATGGATTTCGCGCTGCGGTTTGCCCATCGCCCCCGCCGGAAGGCCGCGGGACAGGGGACCGCCTCAAAAGATAAATCAGATAACAGAAAAAAACTTCCCATACTATTGTTTTACTATTGTTGAACGCTCCTCCTGTAAAGGGGCGTGCCCGAATGTATGGCAGTCGCTTGCAGCAAGATGCGAGACGCGCGCGCACGAACCCTGCACGTTTCGGTTAGACGTAAGAGTGACCCTGGGTAAGAGTGACCTTTGGTGCGCAGCTTTTGGGGGGCCGCGAGGGGGTCAAACACAAGCGCGCAAGACACTACTATCGCATCGCGCTCGGCGATCGGGGGGCCCCAATGGGCCCGCACCAAAGGTCACTCCGGCGAAAGGTCACTCTTACGTGTAGCCGAACGCTTCCGGGCGGCGGCGAGCCGGCTCCCGCAGCAGGCGATCGGCCAGCGGCGGGGCGCGTCGGAAGCGGAATGGACTGTTTGCGTCGGCGGCCGGGCAGGGGGTGGCTGCGCTGGCGATGAGAGGCTCGGATGCCGTCAGAGCGAATGTTGCCACCGCGCAAGAGTCGGGAGCGGCCAAGAGGGGGGTGTCCAAGAGGGGGGGGTGCAAATCATGACCGGCGGCACGTGCGCCGCCCAGCGGGGGGGCCAGGGACGTAATGAAATAAGAAGAGGCGCCACGAGATCTGGGGAAATATCATGGCCCCCGCCATGATATCCACCCCCCCCCTAGTCATCACCCCCCTCTTTTCCGCCCCCGAAAGAGGGAGCGGAATAGACGCACAGGAGAAGGGAGGCTGGGAGGGAAGGGATGGGAGGGCTGAGGACCGCCAGGGCTCAGAGCGTGAAGCACCTCGGGACGTGCTAGAAGAAGGCTCGAGTCCTTGTCACTGTCGGTGCGTGTCCGGCGGCACTGCAAGCCCAGGTCCAGGGAATGAGTCATGCAATTGTTAAGTGGCATCCTGTAGCGAGAACGCCAACATGGGTGAGCCCTGCACACACGCGGTCGCATATTCCTGGGCAGCGGCAGCGGCTGCGGCGGACTAGCCTCGGCGGCTAGGTAGTCCCTCACCGCCTTGGCCCCCGAGGTCTTCACCTGCTGCACCACGTCGCCATCAGCACCTCGTCCATCCCCCCCTGCTTTTTCGCCCGCCCCCCGTCCCTCCTCCGCTCTCCCCTTCCTACGCCTCCCTCCCTCCCTCCAATCCTTCTTCCCTCCCCTTCCCTCTTCGCTCATCCCCCCCCCTCCCATCCCTCATCCCTCTCCACTTCCCTCCACTCCCCTCCCCACCCACTCCCTCCTCCAGTCCTTCTTCCCTCCCCATCCCTCTTCCCTCACATCCCACCCCATCCCTCCCTCTCTCTATACAATTACACAATATGAAAATACTCTCCCACTTCCCCTGATGGCGTCCCGAAGATATCCGACCCCCCCCGTGCACTGTTTTTTACACACTTCCCTGGAAACGGGTTTTCGCCTGCGTTTTTTCCAAAATGCTGCTCTCGCTGAGGCGCCGGCCTCATTTCTGCTCCCGAATCGTTCCGAATCGTGCTCCCGCTGCAGCGTGGGCCTCATTTTCGGATCGGAGTTTGGCCTCCGTCGTTCAGGATGGCGTTCTCGCCCCAGCGCGGGCCTCTTTCTCGCGCGCCCATCCGCCCGCCACCACCGCGCCGCACCGCCACCACCACCACCACCACCACCACCACCACCACCACCACCACCACCACCACCACAACCAACACCAGCACCACCCACCACCCACCACCACCAGCACCACCACCACACCACACAACCACGCACGGCACGCACGCACGCACGCACGCACGCACGCGCACCACCACCCCTACGCACGCGCGCGCGGAGCCACAGGTCCGCTACGACACGCGTCCCGGATAGAGAAATCAGCGCCATGGTAAGGGATGGGAGGGAGGGGGTAGGACGTCAGATAGGACGCGAGCGCACCTAGCTTGTCCCTCCCCCTCCCTCCCCTCCTCAACCCCTCCCACTCCTTCCTCCTCAACCCGCCTCCCTCGTCCCTCCCTCCCCCATCTCTCTCATCCCTCTTCCCTCCCCTCCCCTCCCCCTTCCCCCTCCCTTCACCTCCCCTCCCTGCCCCACACCCCTCCCACCCCGCTTCCCTCCCCCTCCCCTCCCCTCCCCGACACCCTCGCCCCTCCCCTACCACCTCCCACCTCCCCCCTCGGCCCCCTTCCCCCCCCCTCGCGAGCGGGCCGCGCGGGGGCGCCGCGCCGAGGCCACCGAAGGAGTGCCACGCGCGAGGCGCCGTGCCGTGCCGGCCGCAGCCGTCCGAGGCGGGCGCTGGCCGAGGCGAAACGGGAGAAGGCCTCTGGCGCGGGGCGCGCTCGTCGGCGCCGCCGTCGCCGCCGCAATCGTCGTCGTCAGCGTCGTCGTCGTCGTCGTCGCCGCCGCCGCCGCCGCCGCCGCCGCTGCCGCTGCCGCTGCCGCTGCCGCCGTCGTCGTCGTCGTCGTCGTCGTCGTCGTCGTCGTCGTCGTCGTCGTCGTCGTCGTCGTCGTCGTCGTCGTCGTCGTCGTGGTCATCGTCGTCGTGGCCGCCGCAGTCGTCGTCGCCATCGTCGCCGCCGCCGCCGCAATCGTCGTCGTCATCGTCGTCCTCCACCCCCTCATCCTCCTCCTCCAACACATCCTCCTACGGGCTTCGACTTAGACCAGCCACTGAAGCGCCTTTATCTTTACATTTACCTGAACCTTCTCCTCCGCCTCCGCCTCCACCGTCGTTTCCTCCTCGTCATCAACACCCGAAGCGTCGTGGTCGTCGTCATCGTCATCGTCGTCGTCACCACCACCACCATCAGCACCAGCAGCAGCAGCAGCATCATCATCATCATCAGCAGCATCAGCATCAGCATCATCAGCATCAGCATCACAATCATCATCGGCATCATCATCAGCATCAGCAGCAGCAGCAACAGCATCATCATCAACAGCAGCATCTGCATCGTCATCATCACCAGCACCAGCACAAGCAGCATCATCAGCGTCATCAGCGTCATCATAATCATCATCAGCATCATCATCAGCATAATCATCATCATCAGCAGCAGCAGCATCATCATAATCAGCATCATCATCAGCAGCAGCATCATCATCAGTATCAACATCAGCATCGTCACACACACACACATCAGTGGCAGCAGCATCATCACCAGCAGCACCGTTATCAACATCAACATCAGCATCATCACCATCATCATCATCAGCAGCAGCATCAGCATCATCAGCATCATCAGCATAATCATCACCATTATCAGCATCATCATCAGCATCATCATCTGCATCATCATCAGCAACATTATCAGCAGCAGCATCATCATCAGCATCAGCATCAGCATCATCATCATCATCATCATCAGCATCATCATCATTAGCAACATCATCACCGCCATCAGCAGAATCATCATGATCAACGACAACATCACCATCATTATCAGCAGCGTCAGCATCAGCATCAGCATCAGCAGCATCAGCATCAGCATCATCATCAACACCAGTATGAGCATCATCAGCATGATCATGATCATGATCGTCATCATCATCAGCACCATCGTCAGCATCATCAGCATCATCAGCACCTTCATCATCACCAGAATCATCATCATCACCATCATCACCAGCAGCACCATCAGCAGCATCATCATGTTCGTCGTCAGCAGCAACATCGTCATTACCATCCTCCTCCTCTTCCTCCTCCGTCTCCTCCTCGTCATCATCCTCTTCCTTCTCATTCCTCATCTTCTCCTCATCCACCACCTCCTCATCATCATCCTAAATATCCTAGCTACCCCTCGAGCCCCTGCTCTTCTCACCTCTCCACTTCTCGTCATCATCCTGCTCCTCATCCCCCCTGATCATCCTGCTCCTCCTCCTCCTCTTCCTCCTCCTTCTCCTCCTCCTGCTCCTCATCCTCCTCCTCCTCTTTCTCCTCCTCATCCTCATCCTCCTGCTCACCATGCTCAGTTCTCCTCATCCTTTCCTGCCCGCCCCCCCCCCTCGACTCCACTGCACACACCCTTTCTCCCTTACTTCCGGAGTCCGTATCTTCCTAACACATTTGCCGTCTCAAACCTCCCCCTCGTCCTCCTCCTCATCCTCCTCCTTCTCCTCCTCCTCCTCTTCTTCGTCTTCTCCTTCTTCTTCTGATTTTTGTTATTATATCTATGATTAATAATATTGCTAGTATGGTTATTATGATTGTGATTCTTCTTAGTGTGGTTATTATTGTTGTGCTTGTGATGTTATTATTATTCTGTCTACCCGTATGATTATTAATATCAGTTTTCTTCATAATAAAATTATTCCTCTTGCTAGTAGTAGTACTGTTGGTATTATTAGTATGATGAATCGTATTATTCGTCTTGTCATTATCATTATTCCTCCTCCTCCTCCTCCTCCTCCTCCTCCTCCTCCTCCTCCTCCTCCTCCTCCTCCTCCTCCTCCTCCTCCTCCTCCTCTTCCTCCCCCTCCTCATCCATTTCCTATTCCTGCGAAAACAACGAAGGCGCAGAAGCTGACGACGACGTCGGCGACGACGGTGAAACAAACCAAGTCCACACAACATCAACACAAAACTATTGACGACGGCGACGACGGCGGCGACGGCGGCGCAGACGGCCAGCGGCTGCGGAAGCCCGCGGCAGCGCGGGCCAGCCTGCTGGTCGCACGCCAGCGGGAGCAGGCGCGCATCCTGAGACGCGTCATCGTGCCTCGTCCCTCGTCTCTTGCCCAATACGTCCTCCTACTTCCTGGCGCTTCTTCATCCTCATCCCTCCCACTTCTGCCTGCTCCTCTCTCCCACCTCCCGCCTCCCGCCTCCCGCCTCCACCCTCCCGCCTCCACCTCCTCCTTCTCCTCCTTCTCCTCCTCCTCCTCCTCCTCCGCCTCCTCCTCCTCCTCCTCCTCCTCCTGCTCCTCCTCCTCTTTTTCCGAACGCATCATGGCGGCACTGACGCAACGGGAAGCCAGGGAACGCTTGGCGGCGACAGATCTGGATGACGATCGCTTACCGCCGCCGCCACTGCTGCCACCTTCGCCGCCGGATGCTGACATCCCAGCTGATCAAAGCACAGAATCCAGCGCGCTTGCTTCTTCCGGACCAGTAAACACATGTTGCGGCCGACCCCGTCCCGTGCGCAGTGCGTCGGGTAGAATACTACGCACTGAATCTGCACTGTGGTCGACGGAAGGGGGGGACATTCCTGTTACTACACTACCTTATTAACTATCCTGTTATTGCACGTTCCATCGACACAGCATTCATGCGACGCTCGGAGACACGATGGATGCTGAAACACTCGCCATAGAAGGAGCACGCGTTGGCGAAGCGGGTCGTTTTGTCGGCAAGGGGCCCACCGTGTGAGACACGGTCTGCCGAAAGGTGGGCTGACGGTAGCGGCCCACCACCACTACGGATTCATAAGGAGTAGTGGGAAAGGGAAAGTTGCTCGCACACCACGACAGATGGATCAGGTGTGGGTGTGAAACGCGTTGCTAGGGGCGATGTTCACACTTTTCGCCGCGCACCTCACAATAGGCACACGCTGTCAGATGGAACACCCGCAATCATGTGATTGGCGCGTTCAGGCTGTGACGTCCTTCAAATAGCACCACCTCTGGGTCCTGATCCCCTCCCCAGCAGTGACAAACACTGATATTGATCAGTGCGAGCACGGAGAGTCGTCGAGGACACCGACTAGGATCGCGGCGCTACGTGTCGCAAGCTTACACAATCGTCTGTATAAGACGGGAACAAGCAAGTGCCCACATGGGAGGAGATATCATGAAGCATTGCTGGGCTACGACTGGCCTTGACAGGAATGGAGGACCGCCAAGCAAAGACGTACCCCGACCGACGATGTAAGTGCTTGAGAGATACCATGATCTATGTGGGACGCAGGATGCGATGAAACGGTCCCTGAAGATATGGGGAGGGACAAGGGATCAATGGTGCGTTATATTATGTGTATGTCTTCTGCGATCCGTATCAGGGGCAGTGCGAGGAATGGGCCCCATCTTTCATGTCGCGCAGGTCTCGGGCACAACGGGCCGATCCCGAAAACAGTCTTTTTGATGCGCCTGAGCCTGCCGCAGCAAAAAGGGAGCAGAGTGGTGACGTCTTAGACCCCACTGCCACGCTTAGGCCGCCAGGGCCACCTGAGGCTGACGAGGAGCAGGAATGCTTGATGGCCCAACCTTTCCTGGGCGAGTCACTGTCGGGAACCCCAGGCCCGACCCCCAGGACCCCCCCCTCCACAGCCTCGAGCATCGTCCAACCGACCCCCATCCCCATCGGCGTGGCCTGGGCCCCACTTGCCCATTTACCCCCCCAGATGGGGATGTTGACTGTTTCCTTCGGGTTTCTAGGGACATGTGCCCAAATGGGGTGCTGAGATGGTCGGGGTCTGAATAGGGATGGGAATGGGGACAGGGGTCGGTTGAACGATACTGAAGCCTGTGCCGTAATCAGACGGGATCAGGGCTCGCACTGCCAGGAACCGCGAGCAGGCACGTGCGCGCAGGGCTGCCAAGGCAGCCCGAGCACACCTCGCCGCCTTGCCGCGGGCTGCGAAGGCATCGCTGGGGCGCGGTCTGTTCGACAGAGCGCGCTGGCGAGTCGGCAGCCGATTGTTGCGGAAGGCTCGTGTCTCACGCTCTGCCTTGCCGCCGCCGCTTCCCCCCCTCTCTCCTGCGGCTGCGCCTTTGCTGACGCAACGATGCGTGCAGGTTCCCAGGACCCGCCAGCACCCCGCCCAGTCTATAGCAAACCACCACCACCACCACCCCACCAGGTTCACTCAGCAGTCCCCCCGCAGCTGCCAGCCTGCCGCATGCCTCGCTGATGCTCACTTGCCATGGGGACGCGTGACCGCAGCAGGTCGTAATGGTGCACCCGATGGCGCATCACACGTGCGAGGCCCCCTTTTTCGAGCGATACCCTCAGGTGATCGTCCCTCCGCACATGTGCCCCCGCTTGGCGCTGCATGGGATGGTGGGGGCTACTTGGCG